AAGTAAAAACAAGTAACCACATAAAACACTATAAATGCCTTCATGTCGATTTTGGAGAGTTGGATTGAAACTATTTCTAGAAGAATATACATTATTATTCATAATATGAATTACTATAATGTGTATAAGAAGAAATAAACTGAATAAAGTAATGACTACTACTAAACAAATAACCATGGGAGACAGACTTCTGACAAGGCAGTTGGAGGAGCTCTGCAAACTCCAGGTAAATTCTTTTGTAAAAACAACCATTAAACAGTATTTGGAAACTGTCCTACGGGCGTAGAAAAAATAAAGAAACATTTATTCAAATAACACTATCGAATGTCAATAGGAACAGTGTAATAGTCTGCTCTCCCACTGATATAAAGAACTACCTGAGACTGGGTAATTTATTAAGGAAAGAGGTTTAACTAACTCAAAGTTCTGTAGGCTGTACAGGAAGCATGGCTGGGAAGCCTCAGGAAAGTTACAATCATTATTATCATTATTTCTTGCAACCATATGTTACATCTACATTTATCTCAAAACAAAAAGTTTAATCTGAAAAAACAGGCCTAAGGATTAACTTGCCTTATCAGGAACATTGGCAGTCTGCTTTTTTAAGCTACTGTACCTTAAATGATTGAAAACTTATTAATTGCTGAATATATAATAACCTTTGCTTGTATTTAACTAAAAATGGTTTAAGAGCCAACAATTCAAGTATGACAATGGAGCAGAACAGTTTTTAATGCTCAAGCACCTCTCTTCTTGTGCATAACTTGTATCCTTAATTTTTTCTGTGAAATCGTTATATTATTACCTTAGCCTTTTTTGGCGGCGGGGGGCGGGGGGGAGACAAAGAAAGAATGCTTGTTAAGTCTGTCAAAACATAGCCTTATCTTGTGAATTTCTGTTAATATATTATACAAGTCATTTGCCCAGAAAGCTCATATAATACATTTGGAAATTTCCACTCTGTAATATCTTTAGAGCCGACAGTCTGTTAGGTTTGTTTTTTATTTCATGCTAAAGTGTCATTTAGTGGTTTTGTGAACTGGTCAGAAATTCACAGGTTTTAAGTGTCTTGGGGAAATTTATATTAGACATTGCCCTTTGTCTACCAAATAAAAGATGTTAACTTACTACTGTTTAAAAAAATAGGCCTAGAAAATATAGAAAACAATTTTTCTTTTCCTTTCTTTCTTTCTTTTTTTTTTTTTTAATTTAAGGTGGAGTCTCACTTTGTCATCCAGGCTGGAATACAGTGGCATGATCTGCAGGTGGAACCTGCAGCTTCGACCACCCAGGTTCAAGTGATTCTTGTGCCTCAGCCTCAGCCTCCTAAGTAGCTGGGATTACAGGTGTGCACCACCAAGCCTGACTACTTTTTTTGTGTGTGTGTATTTTTAGTAGAGGCAGGATTAGCCATGTTACCCAGGCTGATCTTGAACTCCTGGCATAAAGTGATCCACCTGTCTTGGCCTCCCAAAGTGCTGGACAATTTTTATTTTCTAGATAGAAAGAAATCTCTTAGAAAACAAAACAAAACAAAACAAAAACAAAAAAGGTCAGAGAATTAAAATTGATAGCTCTAATTACAAAAAAAAATTGAAACTTCTGTTAGTATAAACATTTTAAGTGAGAGAAGACAGAAATTATTTAAAGTATTGATAAGAAAGGATTAGTATCCAGAACAGTAAAATATCTAAAAATTAGTAAGAAAAAGACAAACTATCCAAAAGGAAGATGACAATGGAATTGAAAAGGCAATCTACTGAATAATAAAAATATGAAAGCATGTTCTAACTTACTAATAATTAAGGAAGAGTATATTAAAGCATTGACTCACCATTTTTACACCTATTGTCTCGCCAAATTCAAACCTGGTAATAATTCTTGATTTTATTTTTGTAATTTTCTAACATTTGTAAAGGTTTTATATACACATAGAAAATTATAAGTTGATTTTACTTCTTACAATCCAGGTAATAGTGAATACCTTGCTCAACACAATAAAAAACATGAGTCGAAACGAAAATACCACTTGTAGGTTATATAAAATTTTGAAATTTGGAATTATCCTTTACTTGCAATTTAACAGGTTAATAAGCTAAAAACAAAATACAGAATACAATGCATTTGACATAAAATTACTATCTACATAGCTACATATCTCTCAGTAGCTATTCAGACACACACATACACAGAGCCCACACAAATAACAAGATTGGAATAACCTACCAAAGTCTAAAAAATACATATTAAAACTATAAAATACCATTAATTTATTATATTGGCAACACTTCAAAATACAGCATTAAAGGGGTTTTAGAAACTGAGGTTCTCATCTATTCATAGCAGGGCTGGAAATTCCTATACTTTTTACAAGTCAACGGGCAGAACCAATCATAATAGCACTATGAATTCCCTGTAGATTTTCCTTTACAGAATTCATCTTGCTGAAAGACTATCAACTTATCTTACAAAATACAGGAATGTTGGTATGGTGTGAAGGTATGGTGCATGCGTGTATATACACAGACCAATGATGGATGGATGGACAGATATTTAAATGTTCCATACAGCACCATCTGAAGTAGGGAAAAAGTGAAAGAAACTAATAATTAACCAAAGAATGCTCAAATAAAATCTGAAACACCATGTAGCTATCAGAAAGGTTAAGGGAGATAGGTATAATGAAATAGAATCAATTGCATTTGTTTTAAGCATAAAAAGAGTAGGTTTCCAAAGTCAGTTTATTACTCAGGTTTTCATCCTGGCAACATTCATGTAACAGTGGTATACATAGTAGGATATCATAAAGCATAAGAATACTAACTCTAGGACCAGAATTCTTAAATTTAAATCTGAGTCCTCCCCTCTCCTACTTACTAACTATGGTCTTGGGCAAGTCACTTAACCACTCTCAGTTTCCTTACATTAACAAGACCAAAAACAGCAGTGCCTACATCACAGTTTGTTGTGAAGTACATTTAATATAAATAAATCAAGGCAATGCTTACACTAAGGAAGCATTACATAAATATGGGTTTTGCTGTTGTTGTAATAATTACATGTAAAAACACAGCACAGCCTGGAATTTCTTAAGTGCTCAGTAAATATCTAACATTATCATTATTATAAACCAGCACTCATTTTAGGCACTTTTATGTTTGTTAGCATATGTCAATATGTATTTCTGAGTGATTTTGAAGTATATTTATTGTAAGTTAGGTACATGAAGTAACAAGATGCAGATAACTACTATGTAACAAAAATGAAACATGACTGATTACAAGGTTTAAACAAATTATTTGCCTAACAATTTATGTACCAACACATTATGTCTCTCTTTGGCTATATGAGAAAGTATTTTTTGATTAACCAAAAAATTATCAGGAAACCACTAATAATTCTGCCAGTTGTCTGGCACCCTTGCTGTCAAAGTCACGGTATATAAGTTACCTTACTGACAGTGTAACAAGCTACCACAAGCCTAATGTCCTAACCAACACAAATGTATTACCTTATGGCTCTGGAGGTCAGAAACCCAAAATGAGTCTTACTAAGCTAAAATCGAGCTGTATTCCTTCTGAAAGCTTTAGGGGGACCCCAGTTCTTTGCCATTTCCAGCTGTAGTGGCTGCCTGCATTATTTGGCATGTGGCTCCTTCTTTGATCTTCAGAGAAAATCGCTTGAACTTCTCCTTTTGTCACCACATCTTTTTCTGCCTTTGACCCTCTTGCCTTCCTCTTAGAAGAACCCCTGTGATTACACTGGACCCACCCAGATAATTCAGGATAATCTCCCCCTCTCAAGAGCCTTAATTTAGTCTATCCACTAAATCCCTTTTGCCATGCAGAACAACACGCTTAGATGTTCTGGATATGACTAGATATGGACATGTTTAGGAGCCATTATTCTGTCTGCCACACATGGGTCCTACCAGTGAGATGGAATCTGCAAGCAACTTGAGTTCAGGCTGTTCTCCTGGCTACTCCATATTGACAGGGCAGGAGTACCTCATCTCCAACAAACACAGCCACTTTAAGTTCCAGCTCCCTTTCTAGCCTCATGCATTTCAAGGAAATCACTTCTCTTCTAATTACAAGCAGCCAGAAAGAGCAGACAGTAAAACACAGATAAGACAGCTGGGGCAGAGAGGGAGGTATAGGAAACGTCTCTTGTGCAACAACCAAACTTCACCCTTATACAATGGGCCCCAATAAAATAGTGGGTCTTAATAAGCACATTCCTTTCCCTTCAGGCACTAACATAGGGAAGCTAAAAGCAGACTTGGGGGAATAAGCCTGCAGCTGCAAAAAGATATATGGAAACAGACACACAACTCTCCCTCCCAGATAAGCACAACAAAGAGACACAGAAGCAGTCCAAGCCTCTGATAAACTCTCCCACCCTGAGTCCTGAAAAACTCTTAGTCTGTAAGAGTGTGTGTGCCTCTGACCTAGCTCAGCCAGAAGGTGCCTCTCAGGTTTGTTTTCTCTAAAAGAAATCTGTTTTGACTGGTGAGCCACCTCTTCGTGCTTCTTTCCTCTTTCTTTAATTCTTACACATATCAACTGAGCTCTGCCAAATATAAGCCTCAAAAGATCAAACCGCCAGAAAAGGAATTTATAGTGGTGCTTCACGCTCCTGCTTTGGAGGATGGCAGTGTGCCAGAAATCATGGTACTCAAATTTAAAATACTTAGAATTTAATAGAGTATAAGACATAATATCATCATAATAACTTAAAAACATTTATATATCCCAGACGTAAAATTTGTGTGTACATGTCAACATTCCCCTGAAGGAAAAAAAGACTATGGTCTGTTCACCATTCTGTGCCCTCACCACTAACCCTTTACAGAATACTTTACCCAGGGAGACAATAATTCTTTTTTAATTAAATGAGACTAAAAATAACAAAGTCCCTTTAAGACAAATCTATTTAAACATATTTAAATGTTTAAAATCATTAAGAAAGGTTAAAACACAACTAACTTTACTTCTTACCATATATAATATATTTTAGGTGAAGACGTTTAACAGTTTCTTCCACAGTAGGTTTATACTCAAGGGAACATGTATAAATTCCACTCATACGCTCCTGAAAATTTTGGAATACAAGGCTTCCTGTGGATGTTATTTGTGTAGTGCTGTTTTCCACTAAAGGAATAAGACACAGTTATTAGATGCATAAGTTACATGAGGCAAGTACCAAAACATTTTCTAAGCAAGGTAAAACCATCACAATTCACCAACACAGTCAATGAAAGGAGTGGTGGACATAGCTAGGACACTGTATCTGGTGTCTGCTAACAGTGGGTGCCAGGGTAACCTTCTTAGCACCAGACATTCACTATCCAGAGTTCATCAATTGCACTGTTGCCTAAGTTGTAAGAGACTAAGTAGGATACATACAGAACGTGCTCCTAATCTGCTCCTTGCATTGAACTGTGCAATATCAGAAATGTAGGACACCCATATACAAATACATACACATACATATATATATGTATATATACACATACTATAAAATAATTACATTTATATTTAATAATAAATTATGCCATCAGTAAGCTTACAAACTGCATATGAAACATAAATAATATACCCAGGACAAGGGATATCAGAATATAATCACTAACAAGATTTCTTATCAGTACATATAGTAGTATAAAGCAAAATTTGGCTTATAAATTTGAGGTTTGCACACAAAAAAAATAATGGACATGAGATCACCTGATTTGTTCAACATCACATAATCACACAGTTGCAGTGCTGAGGGTTAGAACAGAATGTAAGCTTCCTTTTCACTTCAACATACTTTATTACTTAGGTGTCATGCACGCAGAAAACTATGTTGTGAAATGGAAAGTAAACCTGCCTTTAAAGGCACTGCGACTTGGGCTTGAGACCTACCTTTCCCTCTCACAAACCGTGTAACCTTGATTAACCACTTCATCTCTGAAATCCAGTTCCCTCATTTGTTCAATGAAAAATCATAATATATGATAGCCTATCTCACAAGATTTTTCTGTATAACAAACACAATGAATGTTAAAGTACATGAAAATGCCATAAATCTGTTATTCTGAATGTTCATAACCATAGTTTTTCATTAGAAAAATTCTTAGCTATTAAAATTTGCTCAGTCAATAATTTAATATTCCATTCATTAGAACTGAAAGTACTACCTCAGGAACTGTCTACCTTTTTTCCATTTTAGGTAAATGATATATTGCTTATAAATTTTAAGTTGAAATATTTCTCCAAAACAAATGATGAGTGTTCACAGGGATAAAATTTTCATTACTTGCTTTTTAAATAAATATTTACTGAGTCTCTAGTATATGTAAGCTCTGCTTCAGGTATTGAAAGAGAAATGAATAGATGGATATATCCACCCTAGAGGAATTTACAAAGAGCATTATGCCTTGAGAGCTCCCATTTGTATATCCTGGATGAAGCTGAAAAACATGATACAAATTTAGAATGCACTCCTATTGTAATGTCTATTTCTTCAAAATTATCTTTTGATGAAATATTACACATTTATACTAACATGTCAAGGTTTTTACAAACGGAGTTAACAGTTTGAAAGTGTTTACTACATATTTCAGCAGCAACACCTCGTAAGGATATATCAGGTTCTCATAAAGTTTAAATACATTTTCGAACATTATGTCATCAATGAGGTTTCATATTCTTTGGCAATCATTTTAAATGGAAGAGTTTATCCCACCAAGATATGAGACCATCAAGAAGACTAGCAGACTCTGAGCAGATCTTCAGAAGCAAGGGATTGGTTGCAGATGGAGGGAAGATGCAGACCCTGGACTAAAGGAGTAAGAAGCTGTGGACCCTGCACAGGGCTGCCAAGCAACAGAACTTATTCTTGGCCCTGAGTGGCTCCCAGGGAAGGGATAAGTTAAATACACATGGAGTGGCCCACCACAGACCTCTGGAATCCTAGCTACAGGCGAACCCATGGATATTTGCGCTGGCAAGGGAGAGCTTCTTGGAGAGTTGACAGGGACAAGACTCTAGCCTGCATGGAACCCAGAGCATTTGGCATGGGAACAGTTTCAGTGGAGCATGACCAGGAACACCATCCCCTAAGGCTTGCCAAAATCAGAGCTGACCTGAACAAAACTGAGACACAAAAAAACATACAAAAGATCAACAAAACCAAAGATTGGTTTTCTGAAAGAGTAAATAAAATGGGCAGACTGCTAGCTGGACTAACAGAGCAAAAGAAAAGAGAATATCCAAATAAACACTATCAGAAATGACAAAGGAGATATTACCACTGACCCCAGAGATATACAAAAAGCCATCGGAGAATATTACAAACACTTTTATGCACATTAACTAGAAAATCTGGAGAAATGGTTTCATTCCTAGGATACATTCCTAGATTTCATTCCTAGGATACATTCCTAGAAACATATACCCTCTCCCATGATTGAACCAGGAAGGAATTGAAACCCTGAACAGACCAGTAGTGAGTTCTGACACTGAAACTATAATTAAAAACCTACCAACAACAAAAAGCCCTGGACCAGACAGGCACAGCCAAATTCTACCAGACATATAAAGAAGGGCTGGTACCAATCCTAGCTAAACTATTCCAAACAATTGATGAGGAGCGACTATTTCCTACCTTATTCTATGAGGCCAGCAACATTCTGATACCAAAATCTGGTGGAGACAAAATGAAAAAAGAAATTTTTAGGCCAATAACCCTGATGAATATAGATGCAAAAGTCCTCAGCAAAATACTAGCATAGCGAATCCAGAAGCACATCAAAAAGCTAATCCATCACAAACAAGTAGACTTTATCTCTGGGATGCAAGGTTGGTTCTACATATGCAAATCAATCAATTTGATTCATCACAGAAACAAAACTAAAAACAAAAACCACCTGATCATCTCAACAGATGCAGAAAAGCCATTCCATGAAATTCAATCTCGCTTCATGTTAAAAACCCTCAATAAACTGGGCATCAGAAGAACGTTATCTCAACATAATAATAGCCATGTGTGACAAACCCACAGCCAACATCATACTAAACAGGCAAAAGCTAGAGGCATTTCCACTTTGAGAACCAGAACAAAATAAGAATGCACACCCTCACCTCTCATATTAACATAGTTCTGGAAGTCCTAGCCAGGGAATCAGGCAAGAGTACGAAATAAAAGTCATCCAAATAGAAATAGGGGACTTCACACTATCTGTCTTCACAGACTATTTGATTCCATACCTAGAAAACCTCAACGCAGACTGTTGAAGTGGCTCATACCGGTAATCCCAGCATGTTGGAGCGCCGAGACAGGTAGATCATTTGAGGTCAGGAATTCAAAGCCAGCCTGGCCAACATAGTGAAACATCAACTCTATTAAAAATTGAAAAATCAGCCAGGCATAGTGGTGCACGCCTGTAATCCCAGCTAATAAAGGGTTGATTTTAATGATTTCTCCTGGCTACTCCATATTGACAGAGCAGGAGCACCATCATCTCAGACAACTGCCACTTTAAGTTTCAGCTCCCTTTCTAACATCATGCCATTTCAAGGAAATCACTTCTCTTCTCATTACAAGCAGCCAGAAAGAGTAAACAGTAAGACACAGGTAAAACAGGAGGCGGAAGCACAAGAATTGCTTGAACCTGAGAGGCAGAGCTTGCAGTGAGCAGAGATCACACCACTGCACTCCAGCCTGGGCAACAGAGTGAGACTCCATCTCTAAAAAACAAAACAAAACAAAAATTGTTTCTGTCCAAAGGCTTCTAGATCTGATAAACAACTTCAGCTAAGTTCCAAGATACAATATCAATGTATAAAAACCAGTAGGATTTCTGTACACTAATGACATCCAAACTGAGAGTCTAATCAAGAACACAATCCCATTCACAATGTCCACAAAAAGAATAAAATACCTAGGAATACAGTTAACAAGGGAGGTGAAAGATCTGTACTATAAGAATTGCAAAACACTGCTCAAAGAAATCACAGATTACATAAACAAATGCAAAAACATTCCATGCTCATGGATAGAAAGAATCAATATTGTTAAAATAACCGTACTACCCAAAACAATTTACAGATTCAATGCTTTTCCTATCAAATTACCAATGAAATTTTTCATAGATTAGAAAAAAAACCATTGTAAAACTCATATGGAACCCAAAAAAAAAAAAAAAAAAAAAAAAGAGCTGGAACAGCCAAAGTAATCCTACGTAAAAAGAGCAAAGCTAGAGGCAACACACTACCTGACTTCAAACTATACTACAGGGCTACAGTAACTAAAACAGCATGGTACTGATATAAAAACAGACACATAGACTAATGGAACAGAATAGAGACCCCATAAATACAGCCACACACCTACAACCATCTGATCTTCAACAAAGCTAACAAAACAAGCAGTGAGTCCCTATTTAAGAAAGGATGCTGGAATAACTGCCTTGTCGCACGCATAAGATTGAAACTGGAACCCTTCCTTCCACCACACATAAAAAATCAACACAAGATGAATTAAAGACTTCAAGATAAGGGACTCTTGGAAAAAGGGCAAAGCAAGATGGCTGAAGAGAAATGTCCACCAATCATCCTTCCTGCAAGGGCACCGCATTAACAACTATACATAGAAAAAATACCTTCTTTTAATAACAAAAATCAGGTGAGCACTCATAGTACTTGGTTTTAACGTCTTATCACTAAAAGGCACTCAAAAGACTTTTTAAAAATCCAGAATCGCCAATGCCACCCCTCCCCCACCACCACCTCCACCCTAAAGGGGTGGCCTGATAGAAACAGTGTCTCTGAGTACTAGGGGAGGGAGAACACAACAGTTGTGATGTATTGAGCTCACTGCTGTCCCGTTAGAGCAGAAAGGAAAACCAGACCAAATTCAGCTGACACCTGCCTATGGAGTGAGCATTTAAACCAGCCTGAACCAGAAGAGAGTGACTGATATCAGCCACATGAACTTGAGTGCCTGCAAACCTTGCCAACAAGTTCTACAGCACTCTGTTTACTCTAAGTAAACTTGAAAGGCAATCTAGGCCATAGAGCTGCAAATCATAGGTGAGTCCTGGTGCTGAACTAGGCCCAGAGAGTGAACTGAAAGGGCACACAAAATACTGAGACACCAGCTG